TATTCATATATTCACATAATTTTTTTTGGTACATATACTCACATAATTTTAACTAATCATCATTTCACATTATATATCTCTTATTTTTACATCAAATCACCTTTAATTATTTAATTTTAAATATTATTTTAATAGATTCAAAATCTCCGTACACTTTTTTCAAAATTAACCATACTAAACTCAAAAATCCAAACAAAATCAAAACAATTTTTATCCAAGCATCTAGTGACGTTTTGTGACTTTGGGCTATTCTGTTATGCTATCCTGGATTTTTGAATCTTGCATGTGTAATAATTCCAAGATTCTTGATAAATAAAGAAAAACCTATATCAAGTAATTCTGTTAATCAAGGGAATATACTAAGCTGAAAATGTTTGGAAAACCAATTAACATAAATACAAAAGCAGACAACTTTCTTCCAACTCTTTGAAGCAGACTTCATCATCACATTACTACAACAGAACACTAATCCCTGTGAATGAGAAATCAAACAAAAGCAACTTTTTGGTATGCACATTTCTTACAATACTGTCCACTTCTTATATCTTACACCATACAAGAAAACTTTCTAATAGAAACCAAACAGATAAACAACAACAGAGATTTCCTCCAAAGAATACAGAACACTAATGCTTAATCTGAGACAACATGCCCCTCACATCCTTGCTATTCGGCCTCTCCTTCGGATTATCCAACGTGCAGAAGCACGCAACTTTAAGCACCAGCAGCATCTGCTCCTCAAACCCATCACCCTCCAAACTCGGGTCGATCGCCCGTTTTGGATCATCCGACACCATCACATTCCTCAACCATTTCACCAAACTCATCTCATCTGTATGCTGAAAAAAATTATCGCTCGGCAATTTCCCCATGACCAGAGCCCCAAGAAGCACCCCAAAGCTGTACATATCGCATTTCTCCGTAAACTTGAATGTCTGGTAATACTCGGGAGCAATATAACCGACAGTCCCCGCCACATTTGAAGTCGTTATATGAGTGTGGGCATCCGGAACTGCCTTGGCAAGCCCGAAATCTGCAATCCGGGCCTCCATCTCATCGTCTAGGAGCACATTTGCAGGCTTGAGGTCCCGATGGATTATACGGGGCGTGTGGCTCGTGTGAAGGTACTCAAGGCCCGAGGCAATCCCGAGCGCAATTTTGTACCGTGTGGGCCAGTCCAGCTTCTTCTGGCCCGAGGTCACCTGCATCATATAGTCCTGCAGGCTCCCGTTCCTCATGTACTCGTACACTAGGTAGTGGCAATCGGGCCGGGGAAGATGAGCCAGCAGGGGAAGAAGATTACGGTGCCTGATTTGGCCCACTGTCTGAATTTCAGATTTGATCTGCCTCATTTTCTTGGTTAGCAGCTTGGTGTCTTCCTCTGTGAGCTCCTCGGCATCCCGTGCAGGCTGAGTTATTTTCTTGATGGCGATTTCTTTGCCATCGGAGCCCGGCAAGACTGCTTTGTAGACCTCTCCACATCCTCCTCGTCCTATGACCTCCAGCGAAGCTAGTCCGTCTTCTCTCTCCAGAAAGGATAAATCTTCGGGTTTTTTTATGAGTGGGCTGAAGATTTTCAGGCTGGTGTAGTAGCTACGGCCCGTGATTAACAGCACGATGAACTTGAGGAGCAGGCTGAACGTCAAGCCCGAGACGCAGCCCGTTAGGGTGCCGGCTACGAAACCGAGAACCCAGCCCACGATTTTCTTCTTGTGGTGCTTGTGTTGATTTGTTTCGACGAGAATATAGCGTTTTGGGATTGGGCTTTCTAACATACAGTTGGCGGACACGTTGATGAACCTGAGATTTTGGAAGGATTTGAGGGAGATTGGGATTTTTCCACTGAACGTGTTGTTGGACAGGTCGAGCGTCTCCAGGTTGGGGAGATGTTTAAGGAAATCCAGGTTGCCGGAAATTCGATTCGAGGATAGATCGAGGGCACGGAGGTTGATTAGCCGGGATAAGCCCGACGGGATTTCTCCGGTGAGGCGATTGCTGGCTAGGTTTAGGGTTTCGAGCTTGTGCAAGTAAGCGATTTGAGCTGGAATTTGGTCGATGAGCTGGTTGTTCGGCAGGGAGAGCTCTCTGAGCTCCGATAACTCGCCGATGGCGGGCGAGAGTCTGCCCTTGAGGTTTTGGGACGCGAGGACCAGGCGCGTGATGCGGAGGACACGGGAGAAGTTCGCGATTCGCGGCTCGCAGAATATTCCGGCGGAATCGCAGGGAATACTCGACGGCGGGAGGCGGAGACCTATTTCCCTTTGCAATTGCAGCACGGCGTTGAGGTCTGAAGGGAGGAGGGTGAGTGCTTGTGATTGGACGAGGAATATTATTAGTGCGAAGTAAGACAGGATGGGGGCATGGGGCTTCAATGAAGTATTAGCCATGGGCGGTGATGTTGTCGGCGGCGGCAGCGGCAGCGGCAGCGGCAGCGGCAGCGGCAGCGGCGGCGGCAGTCGGAGGGGAGGGTGGAGGTGGCCTGTGGAGGTTGCTGGTGTTTTTGCTTTTTATCGGTGAAAGTGGGCGTTGACCGTCAAAATCAGATACACGGCCGTGTTCGTAGGGGCTGAGGTTGGAAATTAAGAAAGTTTGGGGACTAAAACTTAAAGTTTTCATCAGATGTTGACTCGAAGTTTCTAGTTTGGCCCTGTGTTTTGGCAGTGTGCGTGTAGTTTCCCGTGAATTTCCAAGTTTGGCCCTGTGTGCGATTGAAGTTTGACTCGTTTAACTAAACGAGCTTGTAATCGAGAGTTCGATTCATTTATTAATATATATTAATTAGTGAGCCTTGATTTTTAAGTGCATTAGAATTTCTAATGCACTACTAAATAAATCATAAAGGTACACTGATTTGGATATGGAACAATGAAGCGTATGAATTAAGATGTTTACGTTAGATAAAAGAGAAAACATGTTGTGTATAATTCAGTCATGTAAAAATTGCATAGTGCTACTTGTTTTAAGACCATCTACAATGGGATTGCTTAACTAATTGCTTAAGAATAAGCAATTGCTATTTAAGCAATTTCCGTGAAGAGAAGACAAGCAATTGCTTAGGTTAAGCAATTGCTTGAATAAGCAATCCACAAGCAATCAGAATTTGTGGGCCAATGAACCAGAAAATGGCGCAAGACATGAGAGAGAGGATGAGAAATCCAAAATTGCTTAAGGTAGTTAAGTTGGTAGTTAATTTGTGGGGTATATATGGGACCCGCATGAGTTGCTTAATAAGCAATTCACTATTGTGGGATTGAATTGCTTAAATCATAGAATTGCTTAATGGCACAGGGTCTCACCAAAATAATACTAAAATATTCTAAGCAATTGCTTATTAAGACAACCATTGTACATGGTCTAATGTGTTTGCAATTTTAGTCCAAAAGTTCTAATTTTTAGTCTTTTAATCCTATAATTTAAAATTCTCATACAATTTTAGTCATTCTGGCCTGGAAAATTGATTTTAGCAGTCGTACCAACCACGTGGCCTGCACGTGGTGCAATATCCGACCAAATGACTTGGCCACTCTTTTATGCACGTGGAAAAGAAAATATTAAAAATAACTGTAAAAAGTAAAAAAATCCACATGGACGAGAATGCCTTTGCCGTTGCCCCTAGGCCTGCCAGAAAATGCCTATGTCGTTACATTCGACCGGGCAACGGAGGCCTCCCTCCACCGGTCTGTCGGAGTTTATTTGGAGGATGAAAAAGTAGCTGCAGCTGCAGCTGGTGATGGAGTTGTCCCTCAGCCGTGACTAGAGCTATAAATGAATCGAACGTTCGCAAACAAAAGCTCGTTCGTTTGTTAAAATCGAGCCTAGTTCGAACAGAAAATTAGGCTCGTTTGATAATCGAACGAACACGAGCTCGTTCGTGAATGTTCGATTATGTTCGCGAACATTATTTAATATAATTTTATTTTATTTTTATATATATTTACATAATATTTTTAATAAAAAATCTAAAATTTAACTTCATCTGCAATGGCTGATTCCTCTACAGAAGAATAAGTTATATTAACTCAGAGAGCAATGGATAGAACAAGAAAAGAAAAATGCACAGAAGGGGTAGGGTTACCTGGTGTTGTGGTCGGACGTTGGGTTCCCATTGACAATATCGGTACATCGTAAGTTCGTAACAGGTCGCTTAAAACAAAGTAGCCTTTATCTTGTGGAGCAAGAGTGAATACTTGAGCGAAACTTTTAACTACATTGTCATGCCCCACGAGATGGCCATTGACGCAAACAATAACTTCACCTACAAAAGACTCCAATAAATCCACCGACTTGATCTCAACTCCTAAGTCCCCATAGTTGAGCGACACAATCTTCTCTTTGATAGCCTTCATGGTTAAGTCACATCATCAAATCGCTATTGCGAGTTTTTTCAAAATTATCATTTTCTACTAAGGAAGTTAATCAATAAGCCAATTAGCTGATTTGACGAGTCAAACATCTAAATGAAGTTCGATCGGTTAATTTTATACCAATGTGCTACATCCAAACATTGTTTTATTTTAAATAAAACTACATTAAACTCCCATTGGATATGACATCCCTACTCAAAAATCAAAATGCAGTTATTGTAAAAAAACCAAAATCACTATTTGAACTTTTAATAAAAGCATGCTACAAAATGAAATAAAACAAAAATATAATGGCTTTGTTATGTTGAAAAAAAAAAAAAAAAAAAAAAAAAA